CCTTGCCAGGCATCATGTATTCACTGTGACCTTCTTCTCTTGAAGGGGTAAGGTATGCTGCTTTAAAGCTTTTCTTTACAGCTAAGACTCTCAAGAAAAAATACCTTAGAGGGGCTGCACTTTGCAGATAAGAATGCAGAATAAGCTAGCCTTACTACCTACCATATCCACTGCACAGACACTTTGGGTGAAATTATTAGGAGGCTTGTTTTCAGAATCCAGAGATGCTGGTTGAGAGTGGAAACCTGCATGTCAAGTTTAATTTCTGTGTGTTTATGTATAGACTGAAAACCAAGGACAACAGAGGTTTCACAAACAGCAGAAGGGAAAACGTCAAACAAGTAAAAAAATCAATAAATAACTGTCTTGCAGGATTAGCCAGACAGAGAAAATAGTTTAATTGTTTATCTTCCTCAAGCTTAAATAGCAAGAGCTAATGGAATTTGAATTTTAACCTCTTCTAAGAGAGACTCATTACCCTTTCAGATTCACTTTTGCTTTCAAGAATTGCAGTGTTAAATCTTTAATATTCTTACTTTAATTCTGAGTACACTTTAATTACTCTATATAATGTAGAAAATTGCTTTCTTCTTCAAATTTGTATATATAATGGAAGAAAAATATAAAATCATATTACAACTGATGCTCTTTGGGTAGCACTAAATTACTTTAAAATCAAGAATACAGAATTAAGTTCTCAGTATAATACTTCCAAAGAAATTATATATCTTTATGTTCAAAGGAAAACAAGTTAGTTGCCATCATTAATACATGATTATTAGACATGAGGTGTTTGCTGGGCCTTGATCAGACCTCAATAGATATTCTCACATCTGGCATATATGGTCTCTAGCATTGCATCCACCTTCCTCAGGGTTCCTGTTGTGACTATTTTTATGTGAAATGTCTTTTACTGGACCATCAGTTCTTTAGAGCTAATGTAAATAGTGTACATAATTTTGAGGACTATTTGGAAATCTCTTAGCTCCTTCTCACTTCCATCATTACATTCTAACTGAAGATAACAGGGAAGAACAAATGACACAAAAGCCCAGATGGCAATCCACATGAAAAGTCTGTGTCCTTTTGAGTAAGAGCTTGTCATCCCTGTGCCAGCATATACCACTGGCTAAAGTAATTCTTATATTTATCACCAAACAACAAAAAGCAAGCAAGCAATCAAAGCACCCCCCAAAATCAAACAAACAAACAAGGAAAAACTTGTTTTAAAGCATTAGTATGTATGACAATTGTTTTGCTTTAACATTTAGGGGTGGTTTAAGTCAAGGACAAGTAGCTAGGTAATAAATTCTGAAGAAATGGTGAATCCAAATGTGTACTACAGCGAGCCATTCATTCTACTATATGGAAATTTAGCATCGTTTAAGCTTGAAATTCCTTCAAATTAAATGTGTCTGGCCAAGACAAATTGTGCACATTGAACATCTTTCATCTATAAATGAAAATAGGTTACTTCTATGTGTTGATGTCTGAAAATAATAGAACAATGTGGGCAGTGCAACAGTATTTACTTTGGTTAAGATTTGGGGAAACATAAGAATGAAAGATGATTTTTCCATCTACAGAAGAGTTGAACTTTTATTTTCCATGAGTAATCGAGGTATATTTCAGTTAAAATTGCTTCTCATGTATGTAACCAGAAACATACTGTGTAGCAGAGGATGATCTGGAGTTCCTGATCCTCTACTAACATATTCTGAGATTACAAGCATGTGTCACTGTGCCGGGCCTTAGCTCTTCTCTTTAATATGAAGTGTTGAAGGAAAATTATGCATAAATGAAAATGGGCAACAGCAGGGCATGTTTGCTATGAAGTTACAGACTTGTATCAAATTCTGTGGCCAGGGAGTCATTATTGTAAACTTAAAATTATGCATAAATGAAAATGGGCAACAGCAGGGCATGTTTTCTATGATGTTACAGACTTGTATCAAATTCTGTGGCCAGGGAGTCATTATTGTAAACTCCTTCTGTATGTGTTATTTCTATTTGTGATAATACATCATAACCAAAAAGCAACTTATAGACAAAATTGTTCGTCTTGGCTCATGGCTACAGCAGGTCTGTCTATAATGGAGAGAGAAACACAGAAGCAGATACCTAGAGCAGGAAGCTGAGGGGTCGCATTTTAAGTAGACATACATAGAGACAGATAACTGCAAGTGGGGTGAAGATATAAGCTCTTGAAGGGTGCACTCAGTGACATATGTCTTCCAATGAGGCTCCATCTCCTAAGGGTCCCATAACCCACCTAAACAGTGTAACCATCATGGGATCAAGTGCACAAGTATTTGAACCTGTGGGAAATGTTTCCCATTCTAAATCATAAAGGCTTCATTTATTAGATTCCATTTAAATATAATCAAATGAGCATATCACATCAAATTCATAGAGGTTCAATTGAGTGTAAAGAAAAAATTTCAGTGTTCCTTGGATACAAGGTATTCTACAGTAGGCTAGAAGTGAGTACAGGAATTAACATTTTATTCTTCTAGTTCAGCTCTATATTACATCTAAAATCCTCCTGTTTTCTTTACACTTGCATTGAAACTTTAA